GTGTTGCTACAGACTCAGGGAACAGCTGAGATAGTTCTGTGGCTTATATTCTCAACTGCACGGAAATCTCAGGACTTATGATCCTGCAGGAGCTGACATCCTTCTGTAGGCATGCAACTGGCCTTTCCAGCCACTTTGAGTCCCCTACTCCCACCCATGAGCCCTGTGAACAGAACCAAACTACTCTGTCCTCCTCTACAGAGGATGAGCAAATAGAGAGGAAAGAAAAAAGACAAGTAGCAAAATTTTCAAATGTAGAATTTTTCAAAATTTAGGAAAATTGCTCACGGTCATTGAGGTTGGGTGGAGGTGAAAAAACACCACGCAGAGGGCTGGTGTTGAAATGCATCATGGGAACCACAGGGACCTGAATCAGCAGTCCCATGTGATGCGGGGGCAGGTCTCATGGCACAGTTCAAAGCCACGGAAGGCCCCCCATGAGGCTCTCACTGCCTCCTATCACAGCAGCACACCGGGAGATTTCAGTGTCGGCTACATGAGATTACCCAAGTTATTCCAGATCAAGTTGACGATGTTGTATACAATAAAAACAACAGTAACAGCACCCCCACAGCAATCTGGAGATGCACACAACAAAAAGAATGGAAACCATGTTGTCCAGGATAGAGCAAAGCTCTGTGGGTGAGGGAAGCGCTTGCTGAGCATTCGTGAAGCCCTAGGGTCCATTTCCAGCCCCCTGAGAAGCCCGAGAGGAGTGGTGTACACCTGAGAAAGGCCAGAGGATCAGAAGTTCAAGGTCATCCTCTGATACAAAATGAATTCACGGCTAGCCTGAGAGACATGAGACTGGGTCTCAAACTAACAAAATCCATTGTCACAGCTCTGTGAAAATTCATTTTTTGCGTGTATATCTCATATATATATATGTATATGTATATATATAATCTTAGTAAGTAATGAATCATAACCGATTTGCTCAGGGTAGGATAGATGACTGGGTGTCTCTTCATGTTTTAGGGACGGGTTTTTTTCTGATTTGCTGGCATCTAAATATATAAACATGTATGTGATTTTTACAATGTAACTTTATTGCAAGTAATCGGGCTCATCTAAGCAAACATACCATTATTTAATTGTCTTATCACAGATTGGTGAGATAATCAATCTGACCCCCTCCTATCATCTGAATACCAGAATACCAAATGACCCCATGGAGCACCACGGCTTGGGTATCAGTTTTTATTTCACACAGAGCAGGACACTTAATAAAGCAATAACTTACACGACAAAATCAAAGATCAAATAAAGCAGTGGTGTTAAAATTAAACATCAATTATGTACACAAAAGGGTGCTGACCAACATGTATGTGGTTGCTGTTAACCACAGCCCATGAACATGTATATACATGTTGTTCATATTGCCCACAGTAAACAAACATGTTTTGAGAAACACCAGCTACATAGAAAGTTTCCAGGGAACCCACCCAGTATGAGGCTGTAAGTGGCACCCCCTGGATGATCTTTGGGGTGACTGGGAAAGGCTGGGCCAGGACAGTGGATAGAGCCTGGGGTTTCTATAGTCAACCAGAGCCCAGGCTACGTAGTACAGTTTGCTGGGGGTGAGGGGACCCCGAGTTCAGTGACTTGCTCTCAGGCAGAATTCACAGAGCAGTCATGGGTTTTAGCTGGTGGAGAGTTTCACAGCTCAAAAATGTAAAGAGGACATCAAAGGCACTTTAGAAAGGACACTGGCTAGGAACAGCTGCCTGTGGGGGTCAGGATTCCCCTTGACCCTCCTTTGAACCAACTCTGAGGCTTAGGAAGAGGACTTGGCCATCCTGAGGCCCATGAACACTCTCCTCTGTGTGGAGCACTCTCTCTGTGTAGAACATTCTCCTCTGTGTGGAGCACTCTCCTCTGT